AAATAAATAAATCCTATTTTTTAGGAACAATAAGCGTTTTACCTTTTTACCTGTCTGTTTAATTTTCTTTGTCTTTATTACCCAGATTCCTCCGAAACTTTATTTACCAGTGGGTATTGGCTACTGTTTCTCTCCCACTACCTCACAAACTTACTGGACTGTTTACAGGAGCTTTGACAACTACTTAAATAATTTTGCACGATAGTTTTTATTCGCTCAGATATTGGCGATTTGTGAATATTAGTGAGGACATTGTTTCAAAGATATATATATATATATACATAAATGGATGTGCTACAGTAAAGTGTATTTTCGTATTGAAAAGCTTCATGCCTTTTACACCAAACATGAAACCGTACCGTCCATGTAAAACATTCGTTGTTAGAATATTCGGGTGGAATTTTACACAAAGCCTTCGTATCGCGACTATCAGGACTCCTAATTGGGTAATGCAGGAGATAACTGGCGCCACATATAGAGTATTTCCAAATCATTAGTACAACTCTTAAAACGAAAGGATGCGAATTCATCATGCTTACAGACATACCATCGTTTTGTAATTATGAGCCCCTATTTTCGTAGATGTTTGGGCGTTTTGAAGACGTTCTCATTACAAGCGGCACGTGTGAATAAGTTTGTAGGATTAAGTGGTAACGCCCACACACTCGTTACCGATTCTTTTTTGTTACTTTGATCAAGTAATAGGATATAAAGCGGCAAGACTCCTCACTTCTGCTCAGGAGATTTTAAATAACAGAGAAACACTGAAATATTAAAAACATATATCGTGTTTCAAACGTTCACCAGGGGCGGGTAGTTAAAGCTGTTTGAACGTGTTTATTATGCACGTATGAGCACATCAAAATTACGACTCCATAAACAAAACTTTAATTTATAATATTTTTTCGCGGTGGGGTAGACGTTCATGTTTACACACAACTTCTCAGTTAAGATGTGCCAGAATCTTCGGATGGCTGTTAAACATAAAATCTGTTTGATTGAAAAGTGGTAATATTATCTCCTGGTCAGTATGGTACAGTTCACCATCTAAGGTATTATAGTCAGTATGGTACAGTTCACCATCTAAGGTATTCTAGTCAGTATGGTACAATTCACCATCTGAGGTATTCTAGTCAGTATGGTACAATTCACCATCTGAGGTATTCTAGTCAGTATGGTACTGTTCACCATCTAAGGTATTTTGGTCAGTATGGTACTGTTCACTATCCAAGGTATTCTAGTCAGTATGGTACTGTTCACCATCTAAGGTATTTTGGTCAGTATGGTACTGTTCACTATCCAAGGTATTCTAGTCAGTATGGTACTGTTCACCATCTGAGGTATTCTAGTCAGTATGGTACTGTTCACTATCCAAGGTATTCTAGTCAGTATGGTAC